TTATAGGTAATAACTGTAAATTTTAAATTCAAAAAAAATTGTGTTTGTTAATTTTTTACTGCGTAAACATTGTGAAAATAATTGATTACAAGAAAATACATTTATAATGAAATTTAATAGGTTTTATTACTTCTGGTGATACTCTGAAACCTTGATCATTTTTTAAACGAAATAAATATTTATCAATTTGATTTGATTTACATGTATTCATAGTGAAAATAATAATCTAAATATACTTGTAATATTTATCAATTATTATTTCCTTAAAAAAAGAAACTCAAAGAAAATATTATGCAGCTAGAGCATTAAATCTTACTGTTTAAATTCTACAGCAAAAAATTAAAGCTACCAATCAAACCTAGTATATAATGCAAATCTACCCTTTAATTATCAAAATTTCGATGGAATAACATACAAAATCCTTTTAATTTAAACTAAACACTATAAATATACAACCCTAGTTGCAAACTTTCAAAATTCATAAACAACATGATGTTGCTCAAAAAACATATATCAATTGTTACTTCTAAAGGCATTACATTTGCGGAGCTTTTCGAAACCGGATGAACAAACGATTTTGCTCATTAAAAAATATATCAAAGTTTTCTTTTAAGGGTATCACATTCTCAAAGATTATAAGCTTTTCGAAATGGGATGAACAACACATTTTTCTCAGGAAGTCTTCCGAATTTTTTTCTAAGAAATCTTTCAACATGTGACTTAGATAAAAAAAAAAAAATCTGCATATCCAAAAATGTTCAAGTTTCAGCATAGCAGAGAAAAAATACAAAAATAATATTTTATGCTTAAAAATTAAATAAAGTAATCACATTATGTTGAGTCAACAACTTTTTAAAATCTAACATATAAAATACACAAAAATACATACCTTAAATTTTTAAATACATTTAAATGAGTGAAAGATGAGAATCATGTAATGAAAAACCTGAAAAAATAAGATAAATTATTGAGAAAGACATAAGAAATAAATTGATAAAAAGTTTGGTGTTTTCAAGTTCAAAGAAATTAGAGAGAGGATGGTAAGTTGTATAGTGAGAAACATTATATTTTTATTGCAGTCATTTGTGAGGAAGATATAAAATGTGTAAAGTTTCTTTATATAAGGATAAACATTTCAATTATGTGAGATATTTTTGCTTCATAGGTCTTTCAGTGAAGTTTTCTAGCCTAAAATGCATTAAAACACTTCACAAGAAGTATACCGAGAAATATTTTGAGAAGTCTTACTCAGATCTGAAAAGTCTCATAACCAGAAACATTCAAATGACACTAAAACAGAGAAAAACTTCAAAAATTATTTTTTATGATTAAATAATAAATAAAATAGTCATAATATGTTGAATCTACAATTTTTTTAGAATCTAACATATAAAACACACAAAAATACATATATAAAATTTATAGATTTAATTTTAAAAGAGTGAAAGATGAGAATCATGCAATGAAAAACTTCAAAAACAAGATACATTAGTATACATAACAAAAAATGAGAAATTGATATAAGGTTTGGTGTTATCAAGTTCAAAGAGATCTCTGAGAGAGGTTGGAGGGTCTTAAATGAGAAACATTACATTTTTGTTGCAACCATTAGAGGAAAAAAGAGAATATGTAAAATTTACTTTCTATAGGGAGGAAAAAGTTCCAATTAGGTAAATATTTTCGATAGAAAAGATTTAAAATTAGAAGACTTCTCAAGAAATCTTCCTAAAAAGTTTTCTAAATCCTAGATTTACTTTTCGCTCAGAAGACTTACCTAGAAGTATTTTAGTGAATTATTTGTTAGAAAACTTTTCAATAAGTCATATACCATAATATCAAATAACTAACAATTTAACAAAAAAAAAACACTTTCTTAAACTTAAAATTAACTTTTAAAATGTTTAATATACACAAAATTAAACACATATAGGTCAAGTTTAATTTTTATCTTTTGAAAAAATTAAAATTCCAAAATCGAATCCTAAAATACGAACAATATTATAACATATGTTACCAAACACTAAAGCAAAGAATATCAAGACCCAATTTACATTCACTCATCTATTGTGAAAAAAAAATTCAATTTTACTAAACCTAAATTTATATCATTTAAAAATGTTTATACATGATTTCAATTTTTCTCTGTATAAATATTTTTATTAAACTTCTAATTTTTTTAAGATCTACTGTATAAGAAGACTTTCAGGAAGTCTTGTCACGTGCAGGATTATGAATGTAAAAGTCAATACATGTTTTTTGGTTATAAAGTCTTTTTTAATATAATTTCACTAGATTTTTGAGTTACTTTTGAGTTTGATTGAGTTTGGGGTATATTTTTACATTTAAAATCAAGTTTAAGATCATTTTTGTAAATTTACCTATGATTTATATGTATAGAACTTTAAAATCCATTAATTATATAAAAAATATAATTTTCTTGAAAAATTAATTTTTGAATAAAAAATGATTCCGTCCTTTCATCTTTTGAAGCGTGAACTAAATTTTAGTTATATAAATGAAAACTTTAAAAAATCTTATTAAACTGTATATTAACTTAAGCAGTTAAACTGTCTAGGAAAGGTGGGAAAAATAAGTTTACCAAGTGTATGTTCATTCGCTATTTAACATTATATATTGTCCAATTCTATGCTAATTTATTTAATTCTAGAGTGTTGCCGGCACTTCGCGCAGAGTTTTGGTTTAGATGTGGTTTGTTTGTTTGATTTGGGTGTTCATATTGATAAAGAATAGCTAGTAGTTTGATATTTTGTAAGTCATTCAGTTTTTGCGTTTTGTTTTGACGTTCTGTGATTTGATATCTGATTTTCGGTTATAGTGTAAAGTATATGTTGTATGGTTATGTAATATTGGGTTGGGAACAATATTTAGTTATATTAATCGATAATTGTTCCTTCTAAGATATTTTGTTGAGCACTTTGTTTTTTTCAATTATTTTAAATATTAGTATAATATATATATATATATATTAGTATAGTATATATATATTAGTATAGTATTAGATGCTTTTTAATTTGATATTTATTTGAAATTTTTTATTTTTAAATTTAGTTAGAGTCCATAAATCTTAAATCATTAACACAAAACAATACATAAGAATGTTAAGATGTAAACATAATATGGTTTCAATGTAGCCATACACAATCACAACACACACATTTGAACTACTTTTGGAAAATTATATATGTATACGAAATTTTGTAAAATATTAGAAACACGATTAATAACTTCTTGTATTAGATTTTTACCATGAATTTAAATTTGTTAATTTAGTTTAGATTGAATACAATTTAAAGAGCTTATTTCGTGAATTTAAAACCTGTAGCGAGAAACATAACCGGTATGAAAACATCCATTACGTATGTGTTTAGTTCGTGTAATTTTAAATTAAATCAAGTTAAAGATGTTTTAATTTATCAAAAACACATCTATATACGTGACTCAGAAGGTCTGCTGCTATGTTAGAAAGACTAGTTACATAACCCCCGCGCAAGCGCGGAGCCGGGATCTGTTTTTTTTTCGGTTGTTGGTTTAGTGGGTTATTCTAATAATACCAAATAATGATGAAATGGAAAGAATGTAGCAAGAGTGCAAAGTGAAAATATTATATAATGTGTTAAATGTTATTTATATGCGAAATAAGGTTTATAGGAATAACTTAATTATAATATAATTTTTAATGTACTAAACGATTTATCAATTTGAAAATAACTTTAATTTAAGCTAATATTTGTTGTTTGGGTTTCAATAGATAGGTTTGGATATGTTTTTTTGTAAGTTTGGATTTTGTTCATGAATAATGTGGTATTTTTCTTTACGGCGTCATCGACTGTGGAAATCCATCCGCCGGAATCTGATAAAAATGAAATTATAGTAACTATTAAAAATTGAAGAGAAATTACATAGTTATTTTATAAATAACAAAACTATTTATTTTATTTTATTTCACATACATAATTTTTTGAAAATATATATTAGGAAATATGTTCTAACAGTAAAAATATATATTAGGACATGAAGGAGACTCGTTTTTTTTCTTTTTTTTTGGATATTCGTTTTTTGATCCATTTTTAATTGTTTTTGGGTTTGAGTTCGTCAAACTTTAGGATTTTCCACTATTTTGGGCTTTAAACAATAAGTCCAGAGGAAAAAAAACATAAAAACATTAAAACTAAAAAGCCCATATGATAATAATCCAAACGAAAAAACTAAAATACATAACAGCTGCATGGTTTGAACCCACACACTTGCAGACTTAATTAATTGTCTTATACCATTTTGCTAAAGTGTATTCATTGTTTATAGTCATTTTAAAAAAAAACTATAAACTTTTAAAATTTAAATATGCGGGACCCACTCGGCTGCTGATGTGGATAGCCTTAGGAGCTTCAAAAGTGAATCATTATTATATAGATTTTTAAGTGTCTTTGTTTTTTCCATGGTAGTTGTTATACAGGGCTTTAGTATTTCCAATGTTAAACATTAAAGTTTTTATTTGTCTATACGCATTACGATACGAAAGTTTGAAAACGGTTTAATAATTTTTTTGGCATCCAATGGTTTAATAATTTAATGACGTATAAATCCGTAGTTTTCAGTGACCGCCGGTTGGAGGATTGATTAAATAATGCACATCATGTACTATTAGAGTCATTAGCTGAGCTAATATGCATCTTTTAACATTAGTTGAGCCTCTTAGCAATGGACCTTGTTATTTAGCAAAAAGAAAAAATCAATGGAGTTTTTTATTAAATCCACCTTACGTTCATTGAGCATGAAGCTGTGACGGAACTCCTATCACCATTGGCAGATACCATGTGAAAACCGTAAAAAGAAAAATATTATATATACATGTTATAAGCAGTGTGAGACAAACTTATTTGTTGCAGAGATTATAATACAGAGTAATGTGTAGTATATGTCGACCAATACAAACATTGAGTCATAGTAACATGAAGCATATAATACAACATTAGTATTAGCTAAAGACATGAGTTGCTAAACAGTGCGGAATCTGAACATCTCAGTAGAGATTGATTAGCAACATCAGGCACTTGAACCATCTTTCTAAACTTGTTAAGACAGATGGCTACTACGGAATTACAAAGCTTGAAATGATTGTTGCTTCTCATCACATCGAATCCACTAAGCTCGAACATATCTCCCTCCCTTAGAAGTTCCCGGAATGTGTTTAGGTGATGGACATATACAGATGCTTGGATGAGAGAGGACTGCATAAAAGGAAATTTGTAATCAGAAATAAGACATTGTAAACATAGACGGCATAAAAACAAAGACATAAGACATTAACTGGTAAAAATACCTGATCATCCAAGTGAAGCATATCGACAGCCCTTAGTTCACCAGACCTCTTAATATTTCTTTCCCAAAATCAGAGAAGGCCTGTGACAAGAGTTCGATTACAAACCCCCTGGCTTCAACTCAGAAACAGAGATCTGGGAAGCAACCATCATTTTTGCAGGAGTGTGTATGACTTTTGAGTAGGAAGGGCGATGAATCTGTGAGAACCATCAAACCGGAGACGCCTATTTATAGGTTCAAAATTGCGAAGAATCTGAAGAGGTCGAAGGTTGTGAAGTAATGAGAAGTAGTGGGAGTCGACTTAACTCAGGTTAAATGTAAAGTTTAATGGCTTCAGCATAAAGCCTGGTGAAGTGATTACTTGATGTCTGCTCAAATGTTTATCCTAAGGAGCAACTTACTCTCTCAAATAAGAGATCTATTGCGATACTCAGGGTATCAAATCCACAAGAAGCTAGGGAACCTAATAAATATAGTCAAACAATAATCTAGGCGAATATAAATAGTAAAAGCAGCAAACAAGTAAACATGAAATATTCCAATTAAACATGACAATTACTTAACTGAAAATGGAATAAAGACTCTTGAAACTAAAATGGAAAATGCGCTAGACTTAGGGTTTTTATTCAGGTATTGGAATTATAATTGTATAGAAGCTATTCAGTTGCTTGCAAGGTACTATAGAGCATTAACTATCTTAATTAACAAAATCATTAAACTATCATTTGAATAAATAAGTATAGTGACCGGATGGTAGTACGTGACAGTGTCAAGCGATTATTCAGGAGGTCAAGCATTACACGCAAGTTAACATAGACTCACTAAAGACTCCTAGATAAAACTATCGTTGTATTTCTAGCAATCCTATCTTAATAGGGATGTGTTTAGGATTATCAGAATTACTTAAATGTCTCTAATCCAACCTAAGTAATCCAAGATTCAATGTTTCTAGTTAGCTACTCTAGAACCATGAGCGTTTAGAACATCCTGCTAATGAGTACCACAACTAGCAATCCTATAGTCGGGGCTAGTCCCTCTAATCTATTTAAACTCTAAATCTAACAAGTAAACTACTCAGACATTGCTAAACAGTTCATAACACAAATAGATAAATAAAAGTGCATATTATAGATATATAAGTAGAAAACACTGAAGTTCCAATCACAAATCTCTCTGATGATCTTCTCTCCAAACTATAAACCCTAAAACTCTTTGCTGTGAAAAGAATACAAAACTCTCTTTCTCTTGCCTCTAACACTTTGGCATAGTATATAAACTTAGGTTAAAACTCGTCAGGGTAAAATCGTCATTTGGTGATGATTGGGCTTCAAGTCAACTTGTCTCACAAATTGGCTTCTATGTCTTGATAATCAATCGATCATGCAAGGTGCATTTCGACCTCGTAGTCGATACGCAATCGAACGCTTCCTCCAATTCTCTCTAAAATGCTCCAAAAACATCACTTTCTTCCAAAATACTCTTGAACTCAGAAATATGCTTAAGAGCTTCTATAGTATAATAAATAGTAGTAAAAACACCAGTATAGCATGACTAAAAACATGTCAAAATCATGGTATATGATTACTCATATTTGGTGTACAACGAAGAAGCCGAGATTAAGGTTTAGAGAGACGTCAGGGTTGAAGACGACTCTGGGCCAAACATATCGAAAGTCCATATACAGTACATTCCACAAAGCCCAAAAATAGATACAGTAAGTGATGCTTTCGCATGGGGAAGTAATCCAACGTGATACATTCTCCTTCATTTGTACGCTATGTAGCAGTTTGAAAAGAGAGTATGGTCTTCTTTATATATATATATTGATCATTATTATTATATAATTATTTCTTTTTTGATATCTATTTATTTTTTGTCCATTGTTATCTACTCTTGGAACAGTTATTACAAAAATTCTTAATTAACATCGATTAATAACAATCTAGTTTAAATATGATTTTATATCAATTAATTCAATATTTCTTATATTTTATTAAATTTAAAATTTTATATGTATTTAAGGTCTAAAATTTGATTGTTATTTTTTTAAAATGTGAAATATTTTATCACAAAGCAAAGTATTATATATTAGTCAAATTAAAATGAGCCCATTAATAAACTTATGTTTTGCGTCAGCTTTCTGTCAGTAGCGCATCGTATGTGTGGACAAGTATATCGGCGGCGCGAGAATTACTCTTGATGGGAATTAGACAGGAGATATATTCGGGAATAAGGTGAAAGTATGGGAGGATCCATGGATCCCTACCATACCAGCGAGATCAACATACCCTTATGCACCGGTTTTGCATCCAAATATGAGAGTGAGTGATCTTATTGACCAAGAAACAAAGGCTTGGGATCTGGGTTGACTGGGGAACTACGTAGATGCTGATGATATACCACTTATAAGGAGTATGGCCATTAGTTCGATGCATCGCAGGGACACATACTGTTGGAGTTATAAAAGGAACAGACAGTACACAGTCAAATCTTGATACTGGGTTGCACGACATATATTGAGGAAGGAAGAGGATGCTTTAGTTTGTGAACCTAGTCTCACAAAAATTCAAGCACATGCTTGGAAGGTCAAGGCACCCTAAAAGATGTGCCATCTTATGTGGCAAATAATATCTGGTCATGTGGCTGTTACAAGTACTTTGAACTATAGACATATGAGATGCGACAATCACTGTCCAAGATGTGGGGAGTTAAAAGAATCCGTTGCACATGCAATCTTTCAATGTCCACCTGCATTGCAAGTTTGGGCATTATCATCCACGCCTACCTGCCCTAACTTTTTTCCATTACAGAGCATATATGCGAATATGGACTATCTCTTTGGAGGAAAAATGCCATTATTGAACCAAAATTGGACAGAGATTCTTATCCCTGGCTAATATGGTATATTTGGAAGACTCGAAATGAAAAGCTGTTCAGAGGAATTGACAGGGACCCCTTGGAGCTAGCCCGTTATGCAGAGAGTGAGTGTCAAGCTTGGTTTCAAGCCAATGAACAGATGTTATCGCCATCTCAAGGAAACAACGATGTTGAAAACCAGGTCATAAGCCTGGAAAACATTTGTATGGTAGACGGATCTTGGACCGCTATAGATCAGTTCAGTGGATGCGGCTGGGTTTGGAATGATAGTAGTGGAAATAGTCAGTTAAAGGGAATGCGTTGATAGAGTGGAGTCTGCTTTGCATTCTGAGCTGGAACCACTGCGGTGGGCAATGGAGAATATGCTTCAACATTCACCATGTCAGAGCTTTGGGACGGACTACAAGAAAATGATAGTGATGCTCAGAAAACCTCATGACTGGCCAAGCTTCTCAACAGAATTGGAAAAGCTGATGACGCTGCAGATTTGCTTTCCACATTTCAAGCTCTCTTATGCTCCTAGGACACGGAATGGTGTGTCTGATTTTTTAGCTAAAACAGTTCGCTCTTTCTAACGAGTTCTTATGTATGTTGGTTGTTGTATTCCGGTCTGGATTCCCAGACTACCTCAAACTTGAGTAATAGAACAGCCTTTTGATGTCAAAAAAAAAAAAAATCTAACTCTAATGGAAAGTATTGGATTTTATTAATCTGAACATTACTCTTGTATATAATGACACAATGCCTAAAGTCTAGTCTAACTATATTTTACATAGGAAAAAGGTTTGTTAAACTAACGTCTCAGAAAAGAAAAAGGAAAAATTCTCTTTCAACATTAATTCGTTTTTGACTGAGCTACGTTTCCTTTTTTTTTTTTTTTTTTTGCTTTCTTCAACCATCAAACTGATTTATCCATTTATCCAACCCTCTCAAAAAAGTGATCTACCTACAAGCCATGGTGATCTGAAACTTTATTTTATATACAACTGCAGTTTCTTCTGCTGCTAGTGGGAATTCATGGGGGGGGGGGGAAGGATCGGATGATCTCAGGAACAAGGAAGCTTCAATTATACTTTTCCTGGTTGGGCTAAAAGTGATGATAAATGCAAAAAGAATTTCAGAGTTGGTCGCGACAGAGGGTTAACTACTGAAGAGGTGATGAAGCTTCAAAATTAAAGAAGCATGAGGGCACATATATTTTCAAGTTGATTTTGGTTTGTATTCATTTGCGGCTGCTGTTATTTCCTTCATATGAGCCTTCATTGATGGCAAAGAAGGAGGTGAGATGGATTTTACTTTATTTGCTGAGCCACTTGCGATTTTCTTGTTTTTAATTGTTAGGATATGGCATGAAACTAAGGCCGAGAAAGTATTGGAAGCTTTGACAGAGATTTAATCCAGCAAGCAACTGTTACGCGTGATGGGAATAATTTTTCCAGTTTGATTTTGCTAATAAGGACCTTGTTCCTGGTAATATTGTGGAAATCGGGGTTGGTGATAAGGTGCCTCCTTATCTGCATGTGGTAGCTTTGATTAGTTCCACACTTAGAGTCGAGCAGGATTCCTTGGCAGGAGAACGTGAGGCAGTCAGCAAAACCACCAAACGTGTGGAGGAGAATTCTGATATTCAAGAAAAGAGGTGCATGGTGTTTGCAGGCTCCACATTTGTGAATGGGAACTGCATATGCTTAGTTACATACACTAGTATAAGTGCTGAGACTGGAAGAGAACTTTCACAGATTTAGGAATCTGCACAACACGATGAAGATACATATTGAGAAGGTGATCAGCGAACTCAGAAAAATCAGTGGCCAGAGACTGAGGACTCTGTCCTATGGAAAAGACGAAGTGGGTTTAAAAAGAAGTTCTCAACTAAGATCAAGCAGGAGCATCCTAGATGTGAGTGGGCTCGTCGGATTTGGTTTCACAACCCAACTCCCAAGTTCCTTTCATCACATGTCTGGTAGCTTTAGACAGACTTGCCACCATGGCTAGAGTAGTGAAATGGGATGGAGGAGCAGATACAACGTGTCAACTCTGTAATAGCATGACCGAGTCGAGGGATCACCTGTTATTTGACTGAACATACTGTAAGATTCAAAGAATCAGAGAGAGATTTGTGAGAATCATGAAGAACAAAGAAAGAGAGAGATAGATATTAGGTTCCCGTTATACTAGAAGAGAGAATGAGGAATATGTTTCCTTAATTTTAATTGTAGATCTGAATACAAGTATTTAAAGGAAAAATGCAAGATGCCTCAGAAAATCCTAAACGGCATACAATCCTATTTTAGACAACAAGGCGTCTAAACTATTTTGCTTCTCAAGTCTAGTGTTTTACTCAAGTCTGGAGCTTTACGCAAGTCTGGTGTCGAACTCAAGTCTGGTGCTGAACTCAAGTATGGTGCTTCTGATGCTTAAGTGAATCCAGACTTTCTCTAACTCTCTTCTCTTTATTTCTTTTATCAATACTCCCCCTCAAGCTTAGCCATCCTACATGGTTAAGCTTGGAACCATGAAGACAACCCCTCATTAAAACCTTTGCATAGAAAACCCTTTGGGATAAAACCACACAAAGGAAAGAGTAGGTGATTCACGATTGAGAGGATCTAGTTAGGTCTATGAGTCCCAATCTTGGGTGTACGAACTCACAGACCTTGGAACTTGCCCCTTTGGTGAAGATATCAGCTAGCTTGTCTTCACTCCTAATATAGCAAGGTAAAATGATCTTCTGCTCCATAGCTTGTCTCACCTTGTGACAATCAACTTCAATGTGCTTAGTCCTTTCATGGAACACTGAGTTTGATGCTACGTGGATAGCTGCCTGGTTATCACAATGTATTATGATTGGTGTGGTCGTTTCTATGCCCAAGTCTCTTAGCAGGTTCCTGATCCAAATGAGTTCACTAGTGAGCTTCCTCATTGCCCTATAGTATGCTTCTGCACTTGAACATGATACTACCTTTTTTTTTTCTTGCTCTTCCATGTGACTAGGTTGCCTCCAAAAAAAGTACAATAGCCGGTTGTTGACCTCCTATCCACTCTATCTCCGGCCCAATCAGCATCACAATATCCCACAATCTCTGTACTCTTGTTGCATCCCATTCAAACTTCTTGACCTGGTGCTTCTCGGAGATACCTCAAAATCCTCTCAACCCTGTTCCAGTGGTGTAATTTGGGAACTTGCATATGCTGGCTCACTTGGTTCACAGCAAAACTCATATCTGTTCGGTTAATAGTGAGATATATTAGCTTTCCCACCATCCTTCTATAGTGTTTGACATCTTCATAGGACTTGTCTTCAATCTCCCCCTCACGTAACACCTTATAGCCATCTTCTAATGGAGTCTTGGCTGGTCGTCCACCTAGATCCCCTTCCTCATTCAAAAAATCAAGTGTGTACTTCCTTTGGGACAGAAATAGTCCATCCTTAGATCGACAAATCTCAATCCCTAGAAAGTACTTTAACTCTCCCAAGTCTTTGATATCAAAAGAGGATTTAAGAAAGTCTTTAGTCAAGAGAATACCTTCCGTATCACTACATGTGGTGATGATATCATCGACATATACAAGGATCACCACAATCCCTCTTTAGCTGGTCAAGGTAAAGAGAGTATGATCCGCTTGGGACTTCACAAAGCCTCTTCCATTGAATGTTTTACTAAGCTTGTGGTACCAAGCTCTAGGTTATTGTTTCAATCCATATATGGCCTTCTTGAGCCTTAGCACATTCCCTGGTTTAACCAAGTGTTCCAGACCTGGTGGTGGTCTCATGTACACTTCATCCTCAAGCTCTCCTTGTAGAAAGACATTCTTCACATCCATTTTCCATAGATCCCACTCCAAATTGACTGCCAAGGCAAGAATGATCCGAACCGTGTGAAGTTTAGCAACCTGAGCAAATGTATCAAGCTAATCTTCCCCATATGTTTGGGTGAATCCTCTTGCCACAAGCCTTGTTTTGCATCTCTCTACTGTCCCATCAGCATTATACTTCATAGTAAAGATCCACATGCTTGTCACTGCCTTCTTGCCTTTTGGTAGTTCAGCTTCATACCAAGTACCATTGATGATCATAGCATTGGTCTCATTTCTCACTGATTCTGTCCATACCTTATGCTTCATAGCCTCTTCATAAGTCTTTGGGATGTACTCCTGGTCGAGCTCTCCCATGAATACAACATGTTCTTGTGGGTATTGAGATAGAGAGCACACGGCTTGAGTAGGATGAGCAATCGCTTGAGAATTGAAATATAATTCAATTTTGTGTGTTTCCAATCAGAAGCCGGTTTCCTGATCCTAGTACTCCTTCTTAGTACTGGTGGAGCATCAGTATCTGGACCTTCTTCTTTATTATCAGAGGACTGACCCTCATTTACCACTGATCCCTCTTGATTTTGTTACTCAGCTTGGCCATGAATGGTTTCTGAACTCTCAGGTTGGTGCGGTTCAGTATCATTTTCTCCCCTCATGGTCAAAGTGAGTGACCTCAATAGTTTCATGATCTTCTTGTATCTCAACCTCATCAGCGTTGATCTCAGAATCTTAGGAAGTCTCATGGACGGTCTCATCCGGTTCTCCATTTTTCCTCCTCACAGGTATGCTCACTCCAAGTCTCTCCATGACTTGTCTAAGATTACTCGCCTTATCCGAGGCTGATTGAGAAAGATTCTCAAGCTCATTCCAATCCTTGTTGGTGTAAAACCCTCTGGACTCTATGAACTTTACATCTATAAATACCAAGACTCTCTTAGTCTCTGGTTCATAGCATTTGTATCCTTTTTGGTTTGGAGAGTAGCCAATGAACATTGATCTTGTACTTTTAGCCTCTAGCTTGTTCCTTTGTTCTCCTGTTATCAAAACAAAGCAAAGACACCCAAACACACGCATATGATCAATAGATGGCTTAGTTTTGTTCAATACCTCATAAGGAGAGTGATCTTGGAGTAATCTTGTTGGGATCTGATTGATAAGATAGCATGCGGTAAGTACTGCATCCCCCCCCCCCAAAACCTTTTGGGCACACTGGTGTGGAACATCATACTCCTAGCCACCTCCATGAGGTGGCTATTTTTCCTCTCGGCCACACCATTTTGTTGTGGTGTATATGGACAGCTTGTTTGGTGGATCACTCTATGCTTTGCTAAATGTTGCTTAAAGGCATTGCTTGTGTATTCTCCTCCATTATCTGATCTAAAAATTTTAATCTTGGCATTGAAATGGTTAGATACATAACTTTGAAAGTTGATAAATGCCTCTAAGACCCTATCTTTTGATTGTTACAGTGTAATCCATGTGTATTTAGACTTCTTATCTATAAATGTCACAAAGTATTTATGATGCTCTCTAGATGCACAAGGAGCTGTCCACACATCAGAATGAATGAGATCAAAGCAGTTTTCATAGAGAGTACTTGATTTAGGAAAAACACTTTGCAATGTTTACCTAAGATACAAGCCTCACAATCACTCTTAAAGGAAATATTAGGCAACATGATGTTCAAGGCACAAGAGTGAGGATGTCCTAGTCTAGCATGCCACATTACATCTTTAGGGAAATTAAAACTTGAATTAAAAGCATAAGATAAATCAGATGAAAGCTTGGTGTCTCCAAGTAAGTACAAGTCTCCCTTGGTCTCACCCTTGCCAAGCAACCTACAAGTATCAATATCTTGAAAGTAGACATCATTAGGTGTGAAAATAACATTGCAATTCAGGTCATTAGTGACTCTTTTAACTAATAGCAAGTTTGAGGTGCAACTAGGCATGTAAAAAGCTTTAGATTATTTATCAAATAACCTAAGATCACCTATCCTTTTAATTGGTACTTTGTCCCTATTAGCTACCATGACATTTTCTAGAGAAGGAACAATATTTTTAATCAAATTTAGATCACTTATCATATGGTGGCTAGCCCCGGAATCAATCACTAATGGCTTCGACAGTTTTGAACTAGTAAGAGCAAAACTATTAGCTGAGACATGTAAGGAGGTACCAAGTGTGTTACTAGAGTTATCCTTGAGGATCTTGATGAGAGCCTCAATGTCTAAACTTTTGATGGTCTCATCTTGATTGGTCCTCATGGTAGAGAAGCTACTGGATGCTAAAGCTTTCCCATCACCATTTCCAAGCCCATGTGGAGATCGACTGGTCCCAGTATAGATGGCTCTCCTACATCTCCAGAGAAATGTGCCCTTGCATCATTGTAGGGAGTTCTGAACTTCTGAGGCTTGAGATGAAGATGGAGAAGCCAGCAGTTGTCCTTCCCGTGACCTTTCTTCTTGCAATGGTGACAAATCCACACTTTCTTGTCTTCAGATTTGAAGTAGCCTTTGTTGGCTACTCCTTCAGCTTGATTGGCAAGAACCAGATCGCCTTTTCCTCCAAAGAGATCCACAGAACCTTGCTCCTTTTGAATCTGAGCGCAAACTTTTTCAAGAGATGGTAGCTTCTCAGCTCAGAGTATATGCTTGATGAGATCATTAAATCCCAGGTTTAGGGTGACAAGTAGAGCAAATACCTTGTCTTGCTCTCTCCGGTCATTGAGCACCTTAGGATCCAAGGTACTTGGCCTTAACATCTCTAACTCGGCCCACAGAGCTCTGAACTTCCCAAAATGTTGATTGAAGTCCATGCTTTCCTGGTGAAGAGTGTTGATAGCTTTCTTGACTTCAAACACTCGACTTAGATTCGAAATATTGCCATACACTATTTGTAGTGTATCCCACAACTCTTTGGGTCTCTCA